CAGTTTGGATAGGGAATCCCCCTAGTGCCTAGAGCAGGCTAAGACGTCCCCTGAGACTTCCTGCTTAATATTCTATAATTTTAAAAAAAGGGAAACAAAAAAATATTGTAAATGCGAAATGATTTTCCACAAATGTGAATTCCGCATTCCGGTTTTCGGCTTCCAGATCCCACGCGTTCCACAAACCCTACAAAAACATGGCCGACAGTAATAAGCTCACGTTCACCCTCTTCTCTCTCTTCTTCGTTTGGAAAACAGCGATTGAAAGTATGCAGTCTTTAGGAATGGACAATTTTCGAGTGGCATAACTTTTAACACGATTCAGTAGCCGAAGGATTGAACCACACAATGATATGCAGGCGAGTCTGTAAGTGTGAGCCACTTTTGAGATTTAATCCACTGAAATTGGCTAAAATCGTATGTTTCGCTAAGTGGGTCAAAGGTGCTAAGTGTGTTTCCTCAGATTTTCTAAACGAAAAGGTGTTGATGAATCCGACCTGTATTATTTTAAAGATAAAGGCTCAATTAAATCAACTAGTAAATTGGAAGCTTTGGATCGCACTCTTTTATCCGAAGCAGTCGATTGAATTTTCACAAAATTTGCATATTTCACAAGCATCTCAGGTCCTCGTGTGGCGCCGAAAGAAAATTCGTTATAAAAAATTTACAGAAGCAAGTTTCTCCAATCTAGTTTCATATTTGTTATATACTTATTAAAAGAAGTCTACTGAAAAATTATGAGCGAAATCCATTTTGTGGGCGAAACTCGATATGAGGATCTTGCAGAGACTGGCTCTTAACTTTTAAGCAACTTGGGTACGAATTTGGAAGAGGCAGTCGAGGGCCTGACGCCCCATAGGTATTGTGCACAGTTTTTTGCCCCCGCAGGGATTTCGCCCAGAAGGCGAAATCCCGAGGAGGCACTCTAGTAACTGGCGCGTATATTAAGGAAAGTACTTACAGTTGAAATATACAGTCATACATTCAATATAGAAAAAATCTCGATTTGTTTGAACAGGGGCCGCGAGGAATCGGTAGATTATAATCACGTTTCTATTGTTTACGCCCGCAAGTACGAAATGGTTAGGATGACGTAAAACAAAAATCCCAACGGGACCGCTTACAATAGGTAGGTTTTGTGACATAAATTGTGCAGTCATACTTCGATACTCTTTTGGGTTACGTGCTATCAGTGACATTCTGTGGAGCAGTTGTTATGAACGTTATGCACCAAAAGACACGCGTTAAGCGCAGATGAAGTTATAAGGTACGTATAACAGTGTATATTTTAACACTAATTGAGTGTGCCAGACACGGGTTCACAAATGTTTGATTGGAAACCTTGCCAGACACTCTGTCTCATTCTTTGACCGGAATAAAGACTCGGGCCCCAAACAAGCAAGAAGAGAGAATGATTCAACGGCTAGCTTATCACTAGCAGAACGATGGACGATTACAGAAATTCGCCGGTCATCAAATTCTGTGCTGACTTATTCCCTGCTCACACATGTCCTTCGGCTATAAAGTTTAAGGTGATTCCCTGGTTTTGCACTGCGCATCTCTTACTGCGCATAACAAGATGGCCGCCGTAAACAAGAGCATGTGAAGTAACATTATTAAAATGAAGTTGACTAAAGAGAAACGCTCTTGGAATTTTTGCTTGCAGTTGTTTCTTGCCGAGGTGAGACTCAGTGTGCTGGGATTGTGCATAATGTAAGCAGTACGCGTGTTGCTGAGTTCGACTTCCTCACGGAGAACCTCGATAGTGGATGTTTAACTTGTGCTTACTCACTTTGATTTTCATTTAAGCGCTTTCTATATCACATTGTGTCCTAAATCAGGGGCACCCAACGACAATTTTCGGAAAATATCTGTTCGGAAGACCATTCGAGACCTAGAATTTTCGGAACATTTTTTTGTAAAATTTCTTGCTTGCCTGCCTCTCCTAGGATTTTCGAACATCTAAAAAATGGATTAAATTAACTGCAAAAACCGTGGACGAAGATTCTGCTAGTTGTAAACGTTGGATCTCTCGAGAAGAGATCAAATCAGCCAAAATATAAAGAACAAGAACGAGAAGTCCGAAGACTACAACAAAGCTGATTTAAAACAACGTGTATTGTTTTTTATAACAATATTTCGGCTGGCCATACCAGCCTTCTTCAGGTTTACAGATGTTACTGAACTTATGTAGCAATCACAATATTATATAGATGGAGAATGTCGCAATAAAAGGGAGAGGCGGAAATGACGTACAACATAAAAACTGGAAAGGAAAAATACTAAGGATATGGATTACAATAATTCGTCACGGCGGTTTAACCTCCATGGCCTAAACCGCCGTGACGAATTATTGTAATCCATATCCTTAGTATTTTTCCTTTCCAGTTTTTATGTTGTACGTCATTTCCGCCTCTCCCTTTTATTGCGACATTCTCCATCTATATAATATTGTGATTGCTCCATAAGTTCAGTAACATCTGTAGACCTGAAGAAGGCTGGTATGGCCAGCCGAAATATTGTTATAAAAAACAATACACGTTGTTTTAAATCAGCTTTGTTGTAGTCTTCGGACTCCTCGTTCTTTATCTAAAAAATGGTATAATTGCCCATTTTTGACGGATTTTTACCCTTAAAAGGTCACCTAGAATTTTCGGGAGCCTTTTTTCTGGCTGAAATTTTCGAAAAGGTAAGTTTTGATCCCTATAAATTTCGGATCACTAGACTTTCAGCTAGGAAATCCGAACAGATGAAAAATTTTTAGGGGATAAAAATATGCCTATATCTACCGCTTAAAACTAAAATACGTTTAACAATGCTATGTTTAAGTGGTTTTTGAACTATATTCTCGTTGGGTGCCCCTGCTAAATGTGATATCTCGATGTAAATTCTGTAAAAACAGATTTTTTAATACTTTCTTCCCTCTATGACATACATTCAATTTTGAAACTCGCCCCAGTCCTCTCTCAAAAATCGCCAAAAATGCATTTGGTGCGCACTTTCTGCAGCTCTACCGCAAAAACGAGTACGGTGACCCCCATTTTTTATTTCATGATTTAAATAAGGATAGTGCTTCCTTTCGATGAGAAAAAAATTTGCACAAATCTATGTTCAGTTTTTTGGCAATTTTACTAAATTGTACGGATTGAGCTATCACGGGTCGAAAAGCGCGTGTCCAATTTAATTCTACTTTGAAGCGTAAAGTAAAAACAAGAGCATTAAAAGGCATTTTTCTGATACGTAAGTGGATAAACAATAAATTAAAGTCAAATTCTGTGCAATACCACATGCATCATCGAAAAAATCTCTCCTTTTTGTCTAGTTTTAGGCTGCGCGCGGTTTTTGCCAAAGGGTCCTAAATAACCGTATTTGTCAGCATTGTGACGTCAAAACGAGCACGGTGACCCTCACTTTTTATTACTTTTTTATCGTCTTCTTGACTTGTTACATCAGTGTACCAAGGTTCATCTACAATCTATGTTACGTTCTTTTACTAGGGAATCACCTTAAAATAAGACTAGAATACGCGAATTGATCAAACGTCCTTTTAGTTTCTAAGGCTTACTTTCCGGCAAATAAAATGAACAAAATGTAAAAAGTGAAATAGAAATAGCGAAAAATTAAACTTCTAATTAAATCTTTTCTTATGGTTTAGAATAAACTAAACACTGAAAATGGTCATTAAAATGGCTTCAGGGTTTTACCATGTTTTGAGGATTTTGAGACCATCTTCGCAGTTTTATTGAACTCGCTCACCAACCCACTCTTCCGGACAATTTCTGGTTTTGCTCGTTGTTTTTCTCGGTGAAGAAGAGCTGATCTTCCTTTTGAAGTACGTAATTGATTTCCGTGCCCATTGAAACATTAAATCTTTAAGATTTTCCTCATTTTCCAGTAACTCACCTGCAGTTTTCTCATGTTCGTTTGTCTTCTTGCCAAGAACTGACCCGCATTAGCCTCGCTTTCGCACTCGCCCTATAGGCCGCCCGAAAATACGAAACTGGGGCAAGCAATTCATGGTGATCTCCATATATAGAGGTATACAGGGTATACAGGATATATAAGGGTATGTGACTTTGTATGCTTCTTAAGAGATAACATATAAGGGAGTCTATATGTAGACTACAATGAATTACTTACCGAAACTTATGGAGATCGATGAGGGTGTTAACCGTCGAGGTGATAAGAGTTGCTGTCCTTGCCATGTTTTTAGCTATTATTTAGCCTAGTTCTCACTCTTGAAACGAGTGAAATGTCCGCCATTTTTGTTTTCACAACTAAAGCAACTCAATCTCGTCCCCAGGTCTTCTCGGTTAACGGTGCATTAACCTGCAATGAAGCTGCACTTTTGACGTGATCGCTTGATTAATCGCAAAATTCTTCCTAATTTGGTCATCAGTAGCTGGTTATGGTGAATTATGCGTGTGCTTTTAGCCAATCAGAATCGGGTAAATATTTTGAATGTATAATAACAGTCAACTGAGCCAGAAAAGCAGCAAATCTTCAAGAAGAATAAAACAATTTTCTTTTTGTTTAGTAAAAGCCTGAGTAAAAAAAAAATGAGGCGCTGCCCCCAACGCAAAGAGTTTTCAAAAGACGTTAACCCATACGCAAACAGGTACCATAATACAGTACCTCTTTACCCATCCAAGACTGTTTTATATTCATTTTTGTTACAGTCTCGTAAAAATTTTAGAATGTTATTCCGCCCACTCCCCCAACACTTTAATTTACAGGAATCGCTAACGAAGACAGGCTTTGCAACCTCGTTTCCAGATTACGAGGTAACTGCCCCTCAAGGAAATTCAAAGAGTGATAATGCCCAGTCTAATGAGAGCTCTAATCCTGAAAACGAATGGCAAACCGTCGACGCGAAAAAGAGAAAGAAAAAGAACAAAACACGGAGAAAGAAGATCAATGAAGCACAGTCCAACGCCCATGATGACACGGAAAATTCCACGCCAGCAAACGAAAGTACTACCTTGTTGATTGGAGACTCTATGATAAAGAATATCCAAGGTACACGTTTAGGAAAAGCCGTTGGTCATCGGGCGGTGGTTAAATCGTTCTCCGGTACCACCACCAAAGCTATGAAGAATTACCTTAAACCTAATTTGGAGCTTTTACCGGACCAAGTGATTCTGCATGTGGGCACTAATGATCTCAAAAGTAAAGAACCTCAACAAGTTGCCGGCTCAGTGGTAGATCTCGCCAGACAAATTGAAAACTCATCCGATGCCACAGTAATTGTATCTGAGCTCGTGTCAAGAAGAGACGGATTCAATGAAGCCGTGAAAACAGTTAATAAACAACTGAAGTTCTACTGCCGGTAGAATGGATGGAAATTTATCCAGCATCAAAACATCTCCGAAAAGGAACTTAACAAGGGCGGACTACATCTTAATTTCAAAGGTAATCAACAGTTTTTTAAGAACTTTCAGACGAGTTTAGGTTGAAATGATGCGCTATCCACCGATGCCGTGCCTATTCAATGTACAAAACGCAATACTGAGGAATCTCATGAGCCTACCTCAGTGTTGCCATCTCAACGAGGTTTTAAATTAGCCTCTTTAAATATCAATAAATTAATCACACACATAGATCAACTTAGAATTCTTCTAGCGCATAAAGAAATAGATATTTTATCGATTAATGAAACTAAGCTCAATGAAACTATTAGCGACAATGAGGTCAACATCTCTGGCTATGATATAATTCGACGTGATAGAATTACAAACGATGGAGGAGGAGTGTGCTATGTGAAAAGTTCAATAAATTTTACCATACGAAATGATTTAAACATGGACACTCTTGAAAATCTATATCTGGAAATTCAAAAACCTAGATCTAAACCGTTTGTTGTTGCCACGTGGTATAGACCACCTGATTCTCCTATTGGTATTTTTTCACCTTTCGAAACTTTAATTGGGAAACTCGATTCCGAAAATATTGAATATTTTCTAATGGGAGACCTTAACTGCGACATGATTGCTACTCGATATGACAACAATACATGCAAATAATTAATGAGTATCACTAATATTTATGGTCTACAGCAACTTATCACTGAAGAACCAACCAGAATAACTCCGACTTCTGCAACTTTGATTGATGTAATCTATACTAATTGCCCAGATAAAGTTGTGTGTTCGGGGGTTCGTCATATCAGTATTAGCGATCATAGCATAGTTTTTGCCTATCGAAATTATCCGTGAATGGAATGTCTGATGGGCACAATGTTATAACCTACAGAAACTTTCGAAAATTTAATCGAATAAATTTTCGGAACGATATTGCATCTCATTGTTGGGATCACATACATTTCCCGGTGTAGTAAGCGCATGTTTCTCATATTATCAGTTAATCAACCTGCGGAAATAAACTAGATGACTTAAGGCACTTTTTTAGGCTATTTTAAATAGCCTAAAAAAGTGATTAAAATCACCTGATCATCGTTACATCATTCATTCAGTGTTATATAACTATCTTATATGACAGTTATATAACAGTTACATATCTGTAATATAACATAGTTACATAACATAGTTATATAACTGTTATATAACAGTGTTATATAACTTTGTCATATGACAGTTATGTAACACTGTTATATAACATTATCAGTTATGTAACTGTTTATATGTTATATAACTGCTATATGACTGTTATATAACTGTTATATAACGTTATATGACTGTCATATAACAGTTATATAACGTTATATGACAGTTATATAATTGTCATATAACATATTTATATAACACAGTTACATAATGTTATATAACAGTTATATAACATATATGACAGCAGACATCTGCTGTCATAATAACTGTTATCAGACGTCTGATGTTAGATATCCTTTTCTCCTCAACTCGGCACTTTTATTTTTGATAATTGTAAAGATGACAATAGAGTGTGAGAGAGATCACTATATTATTGAAAACAAGAGAAAACCAAAGGTTACGGAGTGAGGGCGACAACGATGGAAGATGAAAACGCTGTTACCCCAACGCTGTGCTTCGCTCAAGTTTCACTTGATAGATGTTCCAAACACGCGTGATCAGATTCTAAGTGACCAGAGAAGATCCAGATACGAGTGATCAAATTGCTTTCTGTGAATTCTATTCATCCTTATAAGTGGACGTCCAAACGAATGCCGGCTACATACCTGCGATGCGTGCATAATAATAACCGGAAGATGAAAACTGCGGGCTACTCTTGTCCCCCGCAATAAAAGTGGTTAATAACTCCCCGTTGCATGTCGTTGAAGGTCTCTGTAAGTGTCTCATGTTTTATTTTTGCGGTAGTTTGGCTGAGCAATTAAATTCCCAAAAAGTGCAATTCGCTTCAATCAAAGTGTAAAAATGAAACATCTTATCTTTCCAAGGGTAAAAAACGGCATACTGTCTCTCACAAGCGAGAGAGCAAATAGACCAGCCATTCCTGTCCGCCATGCAGATTTTCCTTGAGTAGCCTGACCTTTTGTTTCTTCCGTGTGCAGTTTTGTTTGTTCCATCAGGAGGTGTCTCAAAAATATTAATGAAGTGTTTTGATGTGTCAGTGGGTGCATGTATAATATTGTAATGATTTAACTCAAATTAATTCCGCCCTTCAGAACTCAACTTGCTTCTACGTGGCTTTCCCTTGTGACAAGAATCACTTACACATTCTTTTAAAATAATTTTAGAAAATCTCTCAGAAAAGTAAGTAACAGGTATTTTATAGGGTTACCTTGCACTTCTTTGAAGAAAATGGGAATGCAAAAGTTTTTTAGGCCGCTTTCTTCCAGTTTTTTAGTCTTTTCCGGACCAAAAGAAAAAGGCCATGACCCCTCCCACCCAAGGGAACAATGTGCCGTCCCCTGTGCATATTTAGGTGGGGTCCATAGCTAAAAATAATTAGTGCAACTAGTACTATCACTGCCGAGTGTGATACTTTTACCCCAAAGTGCACAATTCAGCTATTTTCTTACACCATATGGCTGGACTATAAAACCATATAAAAGTTTTTCACGATTTCTGTGATATTCCTGAAAATAGGCAAACATAGTGGTTTTCGAATTAGTTCCTTCCAAGTAGTAGATGCATGACGAATTTTTCAGTTTAACATTAAAACTGAAAAATATTTTTAAGAGTTTATATGGGTCTTATTTGGAGCCCACTGATCATTCGTTTTCTCTGCAAATTCCGAGTGTTGATATTGTTAATAACTTTTTTTCAAAAATTGATGAAAAGAAAGCCACCGATCTTCATATCATTCTGAGTAAATTGTTGAAAATGGCTTCTAGTACGGATCGTCACACCCTCTCTTTTCTCTATATTCTCAAGGTCTGTTCTTACGGGGATATATCCAAACGATTGGAAAACGGCTTATGTGACTCCACTTTAAAAAGGGCATTAAATCGAATCCTGACAACTATAGGCCAATATCTGTAATACCTGTGATTTCCAACGTTTATCAGCGTTTCCCCAGACGGAGGCTGTGGTGCTGTATCGGTGTCCGGGGTGTCTGATTCGCGATCTTGTTCTGGCTGCTGGAGTGTGCTTGCATAGCGCCGCTGATAACCTGCATGTGATTCTGGACGATCGGCTCTCAAGGCCAACCTGTTACGTCTTATTCTACTGCTGCTTGTATCTGCCATATACGACCGTGGAGAAGCATGACTTTGTACTACGGTTGCTGCTTTCCACTCCTTTGACCCATGTTCCGGCTTCACTCTCACATGGTCACCCGGTTTGAGCGGAGGTAATTCTCTGGTACCGTGACGGTCATAATGGTACTTCTGCTTGTCCTTAGCTTTCTGAAAGCTTCTCTTTATTTCTTGGGCGTCATATGTCTCAGGTTTCAATAGGCCAGTTGCCATTGGTAAGGTGGTCCTCAGCCTGCGGCCCATGCAGAGCTGAGATGGAGACAAGCCAATTCCTTGGATGGTGGTGGCTCTGTAGTCTAGAAGCGCTTCGTTCTTGTTCTCATTTTTCCTCCACAGGGACTTCACTGTTTCGACTGCAGCTTCTGCTTCCCCGTTTGCTTAGGGGTGCTTGGGGCTGACCAGGACATGTTCAAAGTTATAGCTTTTAGCAAAGTCTTTGAACTCCTTGCTTGTATACTGGACACCGCAGTCTGTTATGAGCCTTGCTGGGGTTCCGTGCCGCCCAAAATGCTCTTCTAAAGCTTGGGTCGTTTCCTGGGACGTTAAGTCTTTCAATTTAGTGACCCCAATGTACTTAGAATAAGAGTCAACAAGGACTAGGAACTGTTCGCTCTCAAAGGTGAATATGTCTGATGCAGCCATTGCGCACGGGAGGTCAGAGATGGGACTTGGTGTCAGTGGCTCTTTCTGTTGCGCCGGAGCATACTCATGGCAGATGGTACAATCCTCGACTTTTTCATCAATCTGAGCACTCATTCCAGGCCATTAAAGTGCTTCTCTTGCTCTTTGCTTACTCTTTACAATTCCGAGGTGTGTTCCATGTATGACCGCGAGCATTGCCGGCCTCATGGATGAGGGTATTACGATCCTCATGCCGCGGTAAATGACACCATCTAGAACTGCTAGCTCATCAAGTGTGTCCCAATACTATCGGGTACTGTGTGGGGCTTGTTGTTTTGTTTCTGGCCACCCCACTTGGATCATGGTGTAGAGCGCGTGAAGTTCATTGGCTGAGTTTTCCTAGAGTTCAGCACACTTTGCTTCGGAGATTGAAATTCTTTCTACCATGTTCACTTGCAGCTCATCTTCTTCTGCTGGCACTTCATCCGGGCTTGCTCTGCTGAGAGTGTCAGCTAGGATCTGTTTTTTTCTAGGAAGGTACTCAACTTTGAGGTCAAACCCACTCAGTTTGAGGATCATCTCTTGCAAGCGCAACGGTGCCACTGACATAGGTTTGCGTAGTATCGTTTCAAGTGGCTGATGGTTAATTTATACCAGTGTGGCTTTCCCTAGGATGTATTCTCTGAACTTGTCTGCACTGAACACAATCGCCAACATTTCTTTCTCTATGGGCGCCCAGTTGAGCTCTGATTCACGAAGTTTGCGAGAAGCGTAAACTAATGGTCTTCCTTCTTGCAACAGGACCGCGCTGACTGCATTCTTGCTAACGTCACATTGTATAGTTGTTTCTTTCTTAACATCGTATAATGCCTGTACTGGCTCTGTGCAACATAGATTTTGAGCCGTTGGAATGCTTCAGCTTGGGGCGCGTCCCAGTGGACGAAAACGTCTCTCTTTGTGAGCTCCCTTAGTGGAGTTTCAACCTCTGCTAGCATAGGTAGGAATTTAGCCAGGTACTGTATGGAACCCAGGAACCGCCGTAAATCTTCCTTTGTTGTTGGGGGAGGCATCTCCTTTATGGCTCGTACTTTTTCAGGGTCTGGTTTTAGCCCTTCAGCGGATATGATGTGACCCACGTACGGCACCTGTCGTTTTCGAACTCTAAGCTTCGGGTTGTAACTCTTGGCACGGTAGAGTACTTTCTCTAGGACTGAATCATGGAGTGAGATGTCACGCCCAGCAACGAGTGTGTCATTCATTATCGCGTATGCATGGTCTATTCCTTCTAGCATTTCATTAATGGCTCTTTGCTACATTTCAGGGGCTGATTTAATACCAAAAGGGAGTTTTAACCATCTGTACCTTCCAATCGGGGTGTTCATTGTTGTCAGAAGGCTGGACTCCATAGTCTAGCTTCATTTGAAGATACCCGCTCGTGGCATCAAGGATTGTAGCATCAGGTATCTTGGCTACAATTTCTTCCACTGTAGGTATCGGGTAATGTTCGTGTTTGAATGCCTTGTTCAGGTCCGCCGGGTCTAGGCAATTCCTGATATTTTCTCCTCGGCTTGAGACAACCATGGAGTTCACCCAATCCGTTGGTTGCATCACCTTGGCTAGGTGTCTTACCTTTTCCATTCTCTCAGCTTATCCACTATCTTGGGAAGGATTGCAGCTGGTTTTCGCCGAGGGCCATGCACTACTGGCTTAGCAGTGGGGTCAGTTTTAATGGAGTATGTTCCAGGCATGGCTCCTGATGCATTCTCTAGATCAGGGTGTCGGTCTAAGAGCTCCATGAGGTCTGTTTCTAATTGATGTACTCACCCCACCAGGTTAAGGGCTTGAAAGGCCTTGCCTGAGAGTATGCGGTTTTGCTTGCTGTCAATGACATAGAACTTCACCCATGACTCTCGGTCCTTGAATCTTACAGGGAGGGTGGTGTAACCTCTTGGTGTCATTCGGTGCTGACTAAATGACCCTACGATCTGCTTGGTTTTCTTCATCTGGGCATTTGGTTCTACGTGTTGAGGTTGGGAGATGTTAATGACATTAGCATGCGCGCGAGTGTCCAGCTGACAAAGTAGGGTACTATTACAAACTTTCAAAGTCTCCCACCATTCATCTTCATCACAACAGTGTCATTTTTTAGTAACGCCGTTCATCTCTACGGTACAATCATGGACAAAAGTACTTGGGACACTCAGAACGCAACTTAATTCTATGAATTTCACAAGTTCTGTCGCAAAAAGCAGTGCTGTGTTTTTAAGAATCCATGTCCCCTCCCCCCTCCCCGCCCAATACAATGTTAAAAGATCAAAGGAATTTTGCCTTGACGGTTGTGTGCGGTAGTGGGGAGGGGGTAGGGACGTACAGTACTAGTAGCGCGCGAATACAATTTCGCGTGTGTTAAAAAGCGATCAAACTGTACAACTGTCCCAAGACTTTTGTCCATGACTGTAGTCATCCCAGTAATCCCTAATCATCCCACGTCATCCCTACTCATCCCAAGTCCTCATTAGTCATTCATAGTCATCACCGTCAACCTTAGTCATTCCTAGACATCACTAGTCATCCCTAGTCATCCCAGCCATCTATAGTCATCCCTAATCATCAGATTCCATTCTCAGTCATCCCAGTCATCCCTAGTCATCCCGTTCTATTCCCAGTCATCCCTAGTAATCAATAGTCATCCCTGGTCGTCCCACTCATCCCTAGTCATTCTTAGTCATCCCAGTCATTCCTAGTCAACCCAGTCATCCATAGTCATCCCTAGTCATCCCTCGTCATCCCTAGTCATCCCTAGTCATCCCTAGTCATCCCATTCCACTCTTACTCATCAAAGTAATCCCTGAACATCCCCAGGTATCCCTAGGCATCCCAGTCATCCCTAGTCATCCCTAGTCATTCCCTTGCATTCCCAGTCATCCCTACTCATTCCTGGCCATCCCTAGTCATCCCTAGTCATCCCACACATCCGTAGTCATCCCTAGTCATTTCATTGCATTCCTACTTATACCAGTCATCTCTGATCATCCCTAGTCATCACTCGTCATCCCTACTCATCCCAGTCATCCCTTCTCATACCTACTCATCCCACTCCTCCCTACTCATCCGTAGTCATTCCAGTCATCCCTAGTCATCTCAAGTCATCCCTAGTCATCCCTAGTCATCCCAGTCATCCCTAGTCATAACTAGTCATCCCTAGCCATCCCTAGTAATCCCAGTCATCCTTAGTCATCCGTAGTCATCCCTAGTCATCCCTAGTTATCCCTAGCCATCCTTAGTCATCCCAGTCATCCCTAGTCATCCCAAGCATCCCTAGTCATCCTTAGTCATCCCACTCGTCCCTAGTCACCCGTAGTCATTCCAGTCATCCCTAGTCATCTCAAGTCATCCCTAGTCATCCCAGTCATCCCTAGTCATCCCTAGCCATCCCTAGTCATTCTAGTCATCCTTAGTCATCCCTAGTCATCCCTCGCCATCCTTAGTCGCCCCAGTCATCCCTAGGCATCCCTAGTCATCCCAGTCATCCCTAGTTATCCCTTCTCATCCCTAATCACCCCTGAGTCATTCCAGTAATCCCTAGTCATTCCGGTCCATTCCCAGTCATCCCTAGTCATCCTTAATCATCCCTAGGCATCCCATTCATCCGTAGTCATGCCTAGTCATCTTAGTCATCCCTAGACATCCCAGTCATCCCTAGACATCCCTACTCATCCAAATTTTCCCTAGTCGTACCTACTCATCCCTAGTCAGCCCAGTCAGCCCTTGTCACCCTAGTCATCTCTAGTCATCAAAGTCATCCCTAGTCATCCGAGTCATGCCTAGTCATCTCTAGTCATCCCTAGTCATCCCTAATCATCCCATTCCATTCTTAGTCATCCCAGTCATCCTTAGTCATCCCAGGCATCCCTAGTCATCCCTAGTCATCTCACTCGTCCCTAGTCATCCGTAGTCATTCCAGTCATCCCTAGTCATCTCAAGTCATCCCTAGTCATCCCTAGTCATCCCAGTCATCCCTAGCCATCCCTAGTCATCCCAGACATCGTTAGTCATCTCTAGTCATCCCTAGTCATCCCTCGCCATCCTTAGTCATCTCAGTCATCCTTAGTCATCCCTAGTCATCCCAGTCATCCCTAGTTATCCCTTGTCATCCCTAATCACCCCTAGTCATTCCAGTAATCCCTAGTCATCCCATTCCATTCCCAGTCATCCCTAGTCATGCTTAATCATCCCTAGGTATCCCATTCATCCCTAGTCATGCCTACTCATCTTAGTCCTCCCTACACATCCCAGTCATCCCTAGTATTCCCTACTCATCCAAATTATCCCTACTCGTACCTAGTCATCCCTAGTAAGCCCAGTCAGCTCTTCTCACCCTCGTCATCTCTAGTCATCCCAGTCATTCCTAATCATCCCTAGTCATCCCAGTCATCTCTAGTCATCCCTAGTCATCCCTTGCCATCCTAACCCTCCCAGTCATCCCTAGTCATCTCTGGACATCCCACTCATCCCTACTCATTCCTAGGCATCCCAGTCATCCCTAATCATCCCTAGTCATTCCCTTGCATTCCCAGTCATCCCTACTCATTCCTGGCCATCCCTAGTCATCTCTAGTCATC